TAAAAAAGAATTATTGTTATCTCCTGGCATCATTAATTTCCATTTAGCCCATTTTGAGTTTTGGGAAGTTGGTTACTCAAGTTTTATATCACTTTTGTTAAGCTGTTGATCCTTTTTATAATCTTCCACAGCTCTCATTTCTTTTATAACTTTTTTTAAACTCTTGTATCATTTCTTTGAAGAATTCTAATTGTTCCTGGGTTTGATGATAGGTGTTTCTTTTTTGTTTAAAAAAAATTTTTTTTAAATTTTTTTAACCTTAAAAGTCTATCAGATTCTCTTCAGTCCCTCAGGATCTCAAATGTCAGTTGAGGTCTATAGTGTTTCATTTTCATCCCTAAAGGAATCTGGATATTTACTGTTTATCTTAAGGGTGAGCTGTTTATTAATCAGATTCATTGTGGGACAGAGCTGAGCTGTACTGTTTCTTCTAGTTAGCCATCTTAGTCCAGAATAGCCCCCTTCTACACTGCACAGAGGCAGTTACTAAAGGGGAAAGCAGCTTTGAAAAATTAATGTTTTCACAGAAAGTATTAGGATATTCTAACTGTAATACTAGAAGCTTGAGAATGGAAAAGGATCCGTAATTTAAAAGCAGTAGAGCATGCAAAGAGAAAAGGATTCTTAAAGAAAAAATGAATTAACTTTTATCAAAGAGTTCAAAAGCTCTCTTTTCCTTGTTCATAATTATGGTCACTTGGTTCAGAAGGTTTCTCTTTTCTAAGATGTTAACAGAAGAAGCTTAAAGTTTTTAAATTCTGCTCACTATAAAAAAAAATGGTTTCATGCTTCAAAATTCAATACTTCTAAGAAACTCTGATACCTTAGAAAACAATTTTTGTGAGTTACTGTGGCCAAACAATCCATCCAAAGCTGACTTTCATATGATGATTCTCCCCAAACTTAGCAAGACTAGTCTTCAGACAACAGATACACAGCTCCATCAGAGTCCATGTTTTAAACCTTTCAAGCTGGTAAGGCCAGTAAAACCTTAAACTCTGCTAGGATACCATTTCACAACCCACTGTCACCTCTAACCCACAATGAGGCATAAGGATAGGAATCCAGGGGTAAGGAAACTGTTTCACAGTACTAATACTATGGATATTAATACTAGAAAGGACTGATACAATAGGCAGAACTAAATAATTTATTCTGTGAATAGTGTTTGCTAACATGCCAATACTTACAGAAACAGTATGAAAGACAGAGAACAAGACCGAATTCAAGTAATATTCAAGATGGTTTTTTTTGTTAATCAAGGCATCTCTACAAGGCCTCATTATGGTGGAGAGGTGTCCCTGAGTTCTCAAAGATTATTGTGTCAGCAGAGCATGAGTTCTGGAAGATTCTAAATTGTTGGAAAAGTTGTTATTGAAGAAGGTGTGGAAGCATTGTGACACCACCTTTCTCCAAAACCACCACATCACCCCTTTAGGCTAAATATTATAAAACAGAATTAGGGCAGTTTGAAGTCATTGGTCTAACCTGAATGAGACACCTTTATCAAGTCTTTCACTCTCAATTCCCAAACAAAGTCCTGCACTGATATCTTTTTATATCATTTTTAAGAAAGATCTAGAGAGAATTCTGGGAAGATGGCAGAGGAGGTCAGAAAATTCCAAGTTCTCAAGACTTTCTCTCACAAAAGAGACAAAATAGCAAACAAAGTATGGGTAAAAATAAATAAGAATAGGGGCATAAAAGGGGTCTTCTGGAACAATTCAAGAAGATCAGAAGAAAAATCCCAGAAGGAGGTCTGGTCCCTGTGAAGAGCAAACACCTCCAGGCTAGAGGCCTGCAGCAAGCCCTGGGGTTAGCTGGGTTGGGAGGCTGCCTCAGCCCCAGCTACAGGAACTTTCACCACAGGACAGTGAGGGGAGTTGGGCTTCTGAGCCTGGGAAGACTGAAGGAGCCTCTGCTGACAAGGAACACCAGACTCAGCTGTGCTATGGAGAGCACTGGGGAGAGAAGGAACCAGCATATACAGAGCAGGTGAGTACAGAAGCAGGGAGGCAGGACACGCCTGGCTGTGGGCACTTATGGGACGCTGGAGGTTTGGTTTTGGTTCTAGGCTAGAGAGGAGAACTGAAGATCTGGGGCAAGAAGCACTATTCCCCATACCCCAGGGTTAGAGGTGATTACAAAAATTAAGCTATTACTACAAAAAATGCAAAGGCAAAGGAGAAAGAATCCAACCATAGAAAGTTATTATGTGAATAGAGAAGACCAGGGTTCATCTTCAGAGGAGGATATTGAAGCAAAGAAACCCCCTTCTATCCCGAAGAATAACATGAAATGGTCACTTGCCCAAAAAGAATTAATAGAAGAACTTTAAAAAGATTTTAAAAATCAAATGAGATTGATGTAGGAAAAACTAAAAAAAAAAAAAATTCAAGAAAAATAAGATTATGAAAAGAAAATCAATCAATGAGAAAAGGAGATCCAGAATCTTAAGGAAGAAAATGATACCTTGAAAATTAGAACTGGGCAAGGCAAAGCCAGTGAAATTATAAGAGATCAAGAAATAATTAAACAAAATATGAATAATGAAAAAATAGAAGAGAAAGTGAAACACCTTTTAAGAAAAACAACAAATCTACAGAATAGATCAAGAAGAAAAACATAAAAATAATCAGATTAACTGAAAGTTATGATCAAAAAAATAATCTTGATACAATAATATAAGAATAATTTAAAAAACTGTCCTGAAGCACTAGAACAAGGGGGGAAAGTAGAAACAGAAAAAATCCATCAATCACCACTTAAAAGAGATCCTATGAGGAAAACTCATAGGAATATTATAGTCAAATTCTTAAACCCCCAGCTCAAGGATAAAATATTAAAAGCAACAAGAAAAAAAACTTAAATATGATGGTGCCACAATTAGAATCACACAAGACCTGGCAGCAGAGACAGTAAAGGATCACAGGTCTTAGAACACTATATATCAAAGAGCAAAAGAACTGGGGCTCCAGCTGAAAATATCATACCCAGCAAAGTTAAGCATGATCCTAAATGAGAAAAAAATGGACATTTGATCAACTATCCTAATTTCAAGATTCCTGTTAAAAAAAAACCTGAACTTAATAGAAGATCTGACACACAAGAGCCAAGAGAAACGTAAGGTACATACCAAAGACTGATTACAAGGGATTCAATAAGGACAGACCATCTACTTTTTATATATGTAAATTGCAAAACATATGTCTAAGACTGTTACTAGTAACTGGGTGGCTCATAAAAAAGATTGGGGTAGACCTGAATATGATATGACTTTAAAAAGTAAAACCATTTAGGAACAGCTAAAAAAAGTAATTATTTTATACAAACGAGATGCAAGAGGAAGAATCAATATCAGATGAGGGAGAAGGGCTGGTAGTTCCGGTAACCTACTTTCATTGGGAATGGTTTAAGAGGGAACAACACATATATATTTAGAAGAGTATAAAAGTCTTCTAAATTTAGAAGAAATAAAACGGAAAGGCGATAGGGAGAGGGGAGAGGACAAGGGAGGGATCTCTAGAGAGGAGGGTGAGGGAATAGGTTATAGGGGGCTATAGAATGGTGTTTAGATTTATGTGAACAGGAAGATAGGGGAGGGATCCTTGGAGAGGGGTAGGCTAAGTAACAGAAGGCCAAGGTAGCGAGTAAAAGTAAAGCAAAAGAGTCAGGAGGGATAGGAAACAAGAGACGTGCACAAATATAAAAGCAAAGATCAGGCGTAGAATTTGTTTGGAAAAGGATATATAGATATAGATATAGATATAGATATAAAAAATGTATATAGATAGATATACATATACATACACACACACACACACACACAGAGAAATATATCCGCACTCAATTGTAGCCTTCTGGGGTGTGGGTAAGGGGGAAAACAAAGTAAAAAAAGTATACAGCAGTGAACAAAAGAAAACTTACAAGGAAGCAAAGAAAAGATGGACAGCTTTGAACACAATGTGCAGTGTTTATTATATAGGCTTTCTTGAAATGGAAATTTATCATTACATATTTTGAATCCTCTCTTATGTTCTGCTATGCATAATGACATGCTTTTTTTTTTCTTTTCTTACTTTGTAATTAAGTTCTAATATTTAAGTTTATGTTTTTTTTTTCTGTTCTCTATTCTGTATTTGTGTTCTGGTGTTTGAGTCCAAAATAAAATTCAATTAAAAAAAAAAAGGTCTAACCCAAGGGTTCTGAACCTTCTTGGTGCTATGGACCCCTGTGACCATCTGGTGAAGCCTGGGTACCCCTTCTTGGAATAAAGTTCTTAAATGCGTAAAATAAAAAACTAGGATTACAAAAGGAAACCAACTGTAGTGAAATATGGTTATCCAAATTTCTCTTTATTTCTCACCAGTCTGTATTCTAGACCATGGCACAGAAATCTCTCCATCCTAGAAGACCAGTTCACCCCTGAAATTTATACCCTTGGTCCTCTGATTGGATGCCTTCTCCCAGAACCTCTATTTAAGGAGGGTATTCTGGCCAGCTTTCTTTCATTTCTCACCAGATCCCATGCCCATTTCAGCTTCTTCTCAGCACTTAGCACAGTGTCTGACACACAGTAAGTGCTTAGTAAATGCTTGCTGACTGACTGATCAAAGTATTTATGGAAAAAAAAGTTCATAGTTCTAAATTCACTGACAACAATTAAGTATTTAGAGGTCCTGGTCATTGAAGCAGTTCTGAATCTACTTAACTGTACTATCATTTAAATACAAAATTAACTCTCTGCTCATCTAGTTAAAGCAAAGTCAAAGCAAACTGAGGCAACAAAAACATTTCATGGGATATTTGTTCATCTCATGTTGTAGTATCCATAAAATGCATTTGCAAAAAAAAAACCAAAACTTTTGAAATTATTGCAGCCTGTGCACCAACAACACCTTTTCCCCTTTTTTGAGAAAACATCAATAGAGGACAACAAGGGCTGTGAATTTAACTACAAAGTTCCTATGATGTACTCACAACATCTTTAAGAGACTCACATGTATCTTCAGGATTAGGCTGGTAATCAAAGCTGAATGACAAAGCACAGCCCCGTTCTGTCACTTGGTAAGGGAAAAAACTCTCAAACAGATCCACGCCTGCCTCAATACACTCCAGGACTTCATCTGGCTGGCCAATACCACAGATAAGCCTACAAAATAAATCACAAAAACAATAATTCAAGAACTTAATGTAAGAAACAAAACCACTCAATCAGAATGTTCTTTTTCAGAAACAAGACACTAACAATAATAATAATGATAACTAATAATTATAGAGTGCTTTAAAGAATATAAAGCACTTATATCTCATTGGATCCATACAACATCCCTATGAAGTAAGTGCTATTTTTATCCCCTTTTTTCAGATGAAAAAATTGAGGTTGAGAAATGTATAATGACTTGCCCAGGGTCATACACAGCTAGTAAACGGCTGAGGCAGGATTTGAACTCAAGTCTTCTAGATTCTAAGAAGTCAAAGTATTATAGTGCTCTGTGCCACCTAACTATCCACTTACATTAGGTTTGGTACCACTGAAAATACTTACAAAAGAGCTATTTCATCATAGTAAATGAACAGGAAAAATAGCAAAACCTGCAAGGTACAGAATCTTGGAGTGAACTTATCTTTTGTCTATTCAGAACAGTACAGATATTTATCTTTCTTCTTGACTAACTCACAACCTGTATTCTGACTTCTTAGCCTATAAATGTTTTATGCACTGACTGGTCCAGGAACAGAATTTTATCAACTGTATTTCAGGTGTACTCAACTGATGGGTTGAAAACTCATAAATCTGCAAAATTAATTCTAGCAATCAGAACTACACTTCTGCTTTCAGAACTGAGAACACAATTGGCTTTATTTTCCCTGCACCATAACAAGTTATAAAACCTCCATCTGCAAACTGATCGGCGACAGTGAGCTCCATGATGACACATAAAGTGCCCTCACATGGTTAATGATTTGTCAGTAAAACAAATAGAAAGGATGAGAAAGATTTGTACTGGTTGTCATTTTTAACAGTTTGTTGTTGGGTTTTCTTTTTAGTTTTCATTTTTTTAACACTATGCTCAGCTACTTTTTTTAATGTCTTGTCAGGGGAAAGTTTGACCCAAGCTCAGAAAAAGGTTGTTTAACATTCTTTCAGAACATAAAGACACAACTTGTTTTTTCTCTGACTGCAATTTCTTTCAAGTGACATAGCGGATATTTGATGGAACAAATCCAAGAATCCAGACAGGACTCAAGACTTGCAGCACTTGCTGCCTTCCCCATGTTGAGAGACAGTAAATAAACGGAAACAAAAGACAAAGCATTCCATCTCAAAATTGCACAATTAAGTTTTTAAAAACTAGAACATGACAACACCAACTAAATTTTAACCAGAATTCCTGTGGACTGAACCTCTGTCAAATATAGGCTCATCCATTGTAAGAATTCATCAGGGCTTTGGAAGCCAGAAAAAACAGAAGCAAATGAAATATGCAAAGAGATTAGATCAATGAAAAACATGCAAGTGAAAAATCATGGTGCAAACAGCACCATTCAGCAGCTCAAGAATCCTAACAGATGCTCTGTGTTCACCAGTCCCTAATAATAGCCCCTGTCATCTAAGAAAACAAAGGGACCAACTTCTCTAACCATGTCAGCGGCTTTTGCTTTAGTAAACAACAAAGTTCAATATTTGCTTAACTTTTAAGACAGTTAAGTCGTTCTTAACTGATTCTATTCCCATGACTTAAACCGTTCTTTAAAGAACCCCCATCACAGGCCAGCAATGTAACTCTGACGTATACATAACTTTGAATCTATACCAATGGCTATTTTGGCATGGCATAAGGAAGAATAGAAACTTGAGAAGTGGGAAGAAGATAAAGAAATGAAGAGTCAAGTATACTTTATCCTTTCTCACCCATTTTCCCATTTGGCGCTCTCTCTGGCCTCAAATTATCTAATGTTTATTTATCTATGCAATCTTACATTGTCTAGTAGAACACAAGCCAGAACAATGTCTAGTAAGCTAGAACACTGTCAGATTGAATGTAAGTAGAACAATGCTTTGCACAAACTAACTTTCATTAGGTTGCTCTGAAGCACAAATGTGAAAGCAGTTCAAATAAATTATACATATACATAGTAGAATTATATTTGGCAACTTAGAACATACGTGTTTTGGGAAAAGAAGGCCTATTAGAAATTTACATTATAATTTTTTAAAGTTTTTTAAATGTATTGTTTATTTTAAACATTCTTTTCTTTTTAAATGTTTAGTTCCAAATTCTCTCCCTCCCTCTCACTTTCTCACCCATCCACTGAGAAGGTAAGCAATATGATATCAATTATACATGTGAAATCATGTAAAACATATTTCCATAGTAGCCATATTCCCCCCAAATAGCAAAAGAAATAAAGAAAGTGGGAAAATCATACTTCAATTTGCACTCAGAGTTTATCAGTTCTCTTTCTGGAGGTAGATAGCATTTTTTCACCATGAGTCCTTCGGAATTCTCTGATCATTATATTAATTAGAGCAGCCAAGGATTTCACAGCTGATCTTCATTACAACATCTTATTACTACGCACAATGATCTCCCTGTTCTTCTCAGTTCATATAGGTCTTGCTAAGTTTTTCTGAAACCACCCGCTTCTCATAGCACAATAGTACCCCATCAAAATCATATGCCACAACTTGTTCAGCCATTCCCCAATAATGGACATCTTCTCAATTTCTAATTCTTTGCCACCACAAAAAAGAGCTGCTATAAATATTTTTATACTTAAGGTCCTTTTCCTTTTTCTTTGATCTCTTTGGGATACAGACCTAGTAGTGGTACTGCTGGGTCAAAGGGCAGTTACAGTTTTATTGCCCTTTGGACATAGCTCCAAACCAGATTGATTGGACCAGTTCGCTACCCTACCAACAGTTGATTAGTGTCCCTATTTTTCCCTCCTTCCCTCTAGCATTTGTCATTTTTGATAGAAATGGGGTGACACCTCAAGAGTTTTTTTTAATTTTCATTTCTCTAATTAATAGTGACTTAGAGCATTTTTTTATATGACTTATAGAGAGCTTTGATTTCTGCTTGTATATATCCTTTGACCATTTATCAATTGGGGAATGGCTCTTATTTTTATAAATTTGATTCAGTTCTATGTTCAGTATATATTTGAGAAATGAGGCCTTTATCAGAGAAACTTGCTATAAAATTTTTGTTATTACTTTTGTCTATGATACCTTTTAGCATAATGTAGTTTCCCTGATTTTAATAATTAATTATTAATCTATTTTTTAAGGCAATTGGGGTTAAGTGACTTGCCCAGGGTCACACAGCTAGTAAGTGTTTGAGGCCACATTTGAACTCAAGTCCTCCTGACTCCTGGGTTGGTGCCGTACCCACTGCACCACCTAGCTGCCACAATCAGGAATATTTGTGTTTTTACTTTGTCTGAGATCATGGTAGCCACCCCTGCCTTTTTAAACTTCAGCTGAAGCATATTAGATTCTGCTCTTTTTTTTTTAGTGAAGCAATTGGGGTTAAGTGAATTGCCCAGGTTCACACAGCTAGCAAGTGTCAAGTGTCTGAGGCCGGATTTGAACTCAGGTCCTCTTGACTCTAGGGCTGGTGCTTTATCCACTGTGCCACCAAGCTGCCCCTAGCCCCATATTTTTAACTCTGTGTCTTTCTGTTTAAAGTGTGTCTCTTATAAATGACATATTGTTGGATTCTGGTTTCTAATCCATTCTGCTATCTGCTTCCATTTTATGGGTGAACTCATCCCGTTCACATTCACAGTTATGATTATTGTGTATTTCCCTCCATCCCATTTTTCTTCTGTTTCTTCTTCTCTTTTATCCTGTCCTTCCTCAAAAGTCTATTTTGCTCCTAATACTGCCTCCTTTAATCTACCGTCCCTTTTATTATTCTGCCCAACCCCCCTCTCTTATTCGCTTCCCCTCCTATTTCCCTATTAAATTATATTTCTATACACAACTGAGTGTGTATATATATATATATATTATTCCCTCTTTGAACCAATTCTGAAGAGAGTGAGGTTCAAGCATTGCCTGCCACCCTCCATTTTCTCCTTGACTGTAAAAACTCTACTTTGAACACCTTTTTTATGTGGGGAAATTTCCCCCATTCTACCTCTCCCTTCCCCCTTCTCCCAGTGCATCTCCCTTTCTCCTCCCTTCATTTTTTTTAGAGATCATTCCAACATAATCAACTCACATCCATGCCCTCTGTCTATGTAAACTTTCTAGCTACCCGAATAATGATAAAGTTCTTTTAGGAGTTACATGTATCATCTTGCCATATAGGAATATAAACAATTTAATTTTTATTAATCCCTTACTGATTACTCTTTCATGTTTACCTCTTTATGCTTTCCTGGAGTCTTCTGTATAAATGTCAAATTTTCTATTCATCTCTGATCTTTTCATCAGGAATGTTTGAAAGTCCTCTATTTCATTTAATATCCATCTTCCCCCCCCCCCCCCAAAGAATTATTATATTCAATTTGCCGGGTAGGTTATTCTTGGTTGTAATCCTAACTTCTTTGCCTTTCAGAATATCACATTCCAAGCCCTCAGCTACTTAATGTACGAGCCACTAAATCTTATGTGATCCTAAACATGGCTCCACAATATCTGAATTGTTTTTTTCTGGCTGCTTGAAGTATTTTCTCTTTGACCTAGGCACTCTGAAATTTGGCTATAATATTCCTTCTAGTTTTCATTTGGGGATCTCTTTCAGGAGGTAATAAATGAATTCTTTCAATTTCTATTTTATCCTCTGGATCTAAAATATTGGGACAGTTTTTACTTGATAATTTCTTGAGATATGAAGTCTAGACTCTTTCTTTGATCATGGCTTTAAGGTAGTTCAAAAATTCTTAAAATATTTCTCCTAGATTTATTTTCTGGATCAGTTGTATTTCTGATGAGATAGTGTACATTTTATTCTATTTTTTTCCCCCATTCTTTTGACTTTGTTTATTGTCTCATGGAGTCATTAGCTTTCACTTGCCCAATTCTAATTTTTAAAGAATTATTTTCTTCAGTGAGATTTCATACCTCTTTTTCCATTTGGCCAATTCTTGCTTAGTAAGGAGTTCTTTTCTTCGGTGAATTTTTGTGCCTCTTTTATCATTAGGCCAATTCTATTTTTTAAGGTGTTATTTTCTTTAGTATTTTTTTCGTGCCTCTCTTACCAAGCTGTTAATTTTCTTTTCATAATTTTCTTGTATCACTCTCATTTCTTTTCCCAATTTTTCCTCTACCACTGTTATCTTTTTCTTTAACTCTTCCAAGAATTGTTGTTGGGCTTGGGTCTAATTAACATTTTTCTTTGAGGCTTTGTTTGTAGATTTTTCATATTACTGGTTTCTTCTGAGCTTGTCTTGTAGTACTTTTTTATGGTCAAGGGTTTTTTTTGTTGTTGTTTGTTCATTTTTCCAGTCTATTTCTTGACTTTGAACTTTATATTAAAGTTGAGCTCTATTCACCTGGGGATGGAGAGGCACTGTCCCAAGCTTCAAGCTTTTTCATGCTGTGGTTTTTGGAGCTAGTTCTGGAAATCTGCAAGTTTTGGGGGCTTCCAAGGTGATGTGATCCTGGGAGAGGTATGGTCACTACTCTCCTAGTCTGTACTCTTTACCCAGGAAGGGCCTCTGGTCCCTTGCAGCTGCAAGCACTAATGCTCTTTTCCTTGGAGCTGAGACCACTCCTCCCCCCCACTCCCTTGTGACCAACCACCAGGGCTCCTCTCTGCCCTAGAACTGCAGCCCAGAACTGCGGATGAGCAAGAGAGATGCCAATCAGTACCAGCTGTACCCAGTGGGTCCCTTGTAATCTCTTTCTGACCAGGTGTCTGATCCCCTTATTGCCTCTGGGCTGAGAGTTCCCCAAGCTGTTGCCGCTGCTGGTGCTCTCTCTGCATATTCTCCAGGCAGATGCCCACCTGGGTGTTACAAAGCTCTCCTGCTGACCTAAATTTCTTTAGTCTGAGAAAAAAAATCTCACCCTGAACTTTCTGCTGGCTCTGCCACTTCAAAATTTGAAGCGAGGTGTTATTTTAAAGTTAAAGGGGGGGGGGAGCTACGTGGCACAGTAGATAGAGCACCAGCTCTGAAGTCAGGAGGACCTGAGTTCAAATCCAGCCTCAGACCAAACACTTGACAAGTACTAGCTGTGTGACCCTGGGCAAGTCACTTAACCCCGATTGCCTCACTGGGGAAAAAAAAAATCTAAAGTTAAAGGGAGAGGTTGAGAGAGGTTATCTGGGTTGCTGCCTCTAACCCACCATCTTGGCTTCCCCTAGATTATGATTTTAGATTATCATAATTCATATTATGAGGGTTGGAAGCCAGGAATCATCACATAAATACCTGCATTCTGTATAAGACTTCATCATAATCATCAGGCTTGATTCCAGCTTTTGCCTCAAACAGCAAAGTTAGCCAAAAAGGGAAGAAAACACAATACCCAAGTAATAAGCTGAGGCCTTTGAATAAGTGAAAGTTTTCTTCAATGATACACAATGTGCTCCATCCCATTCCCAGCTTTACCCGTAATTTAACACTAACCTCGGTTTGTCCTCTGGGAGCTCAGCTGTGACAGCTGATATAAGCTGCAACCTAGTCTCCTTTGTCATGGCATCTCCATGAAAACCATCCAGGAGGAAGCCACCTACAGGCCGTTTTGCTGTCTCCCTTGCTGATCTCAGCCTTTCCTCTAGTATATCACCACCTTCAATTACTCCAATCATCACACAACTTCGAAGAACCTGGGTTGAGAAAGGAGGGTGGAAGCAGTGGAAGGCCAAGAAGAAAAAGAAAGAATGAACAACAGATAACACACACATGCCCCTCCATTTCTTCTGAGATATCAATATTCAACTTTAGATCCTGGAAGGAATAGAGAGGCATTTCAGCATCTTTTCTGTCCTGGTTAAAAATCACCCTAAGGATTTAGGAGTGGATTAACAGGTACAATGCCCTACCTTCAGAGGTGCACAACACATATACCGGCCTGCCCAGTGCGTGTGCCTGGTATATGGGACATTTCCCATAGATGCACGTCACAGATGGGGATAAGGGACAGGCCAAGGACCAGCCCTAGGATGATGTATGGAAGGAAAAACATGGATGACTGGGGACTGGGGTCAGGGATACAGAAGAAAACCTGCAGCTATGTTCATCCTGACATCTAAGTCTTTGGTCCTGCTCATCTCCCCACAAGAAAGGCCCTTTTTCCTCCCCTCTGCAACTGTCCAAATTCACCATCCAGCAGAAACAGTTCTGGAGCTCTTTGAGAGTTGTCTTTGGAGCCTTGGAATAACAGCATGCTAAGGCAGTAGAAGGCACCATAGAGATTATCTTGTCTATTCCCCTCATGTTCAAAGCGAAGAAAATGAGATTCAGAAAAGCTGGAGATTAGAGGCCTAGTTAGAATACTCTTTGTTCTTTTCACTACGCTGTGTCACCTCCCAATAATTAAATGTTTCACAACTATTAAATTTTGTCTGTCCAATTAGACTATAAGGCTCACTGAAATCAGGAGCATCTTATACTTTGTAATATCCTGCTTCATACTTAGCATGGTTCTCAGAAAGTTTAAAATATTTAGAGCTAGAAGAAACCTTGGGAATCCTCTAGACCAGGGACCCTTAACCTGTTTTGTATCATGGACCCTTTGGAAGTCTGCTGAAGCCTATGGACCCCTTCTCAGAATAAAATTTTTAAATGCCTAAAATAAAATACAAAGGAATACAAAGGAAACCAAAGGTTAGTAAAATAAACGTAATTTGTTTCCCACCCAAGTTTAGAGAACCCTTGAACTCAATCCATAGACAATGGACCAGGTTCAGAACCTATGATCTAGACTCATTTTACAAATGAAGAAACCAAGGCGTAGAAGAATTAAGTAGACTTACCCAAGGTCACATAGCTGATAAGGGGCAGAGTTAGAATTTCAATGCAGTTCTCTGACTTCCAATTTCAGTGCTTTCCCACTAAACTGCCCTACAAGTACTTGTTAATTTATTAGCTGATTATGCAGACTGGATGCCGTCCTATCTCCAAGAATGAGTCCTGACAATTTGCTGCAGAGGCAGCAAATGATTGCAAAGCAGCCAATCTCCTGTGGTGTCTTTTTTTTTTTCCACATGAGACATCATAAGTTGATGTCTAAACTCTTCCATGGGGAAGTAGGTAAGCAACCCCCCTCCATGGGGTTCTCTGCCTGGATTTAGTCTTACCTCAGACTGTTCCTGGAGCTTTAGACACTCATCAAGGAAAGCCAGGGACCGATCCACAGACTTTCTGGCTCTCTTGGCCGAGAAGACTTCACCACACAAAGCCTCCCCATCTGACAGGCACTGAAACCAGTCCGGCTGAAGGGCCTGCTGAACTGACATGAACTTGGCTGCAGTCATTTCTAGGCGCCCTCCAACACCCCACACAGACACAGACTATCAGGAAGAAAGCACAAAGACATCAATGAGCACAGCTGATGGCTAAGAAGCAAATGCCATAAGCACAAATCTCATTACACTACAAAGTAATGCTGAACTCACATCTTCTTCATATTTGAGATGGTATTGACAATACAGTCTCCTGAACAGATGGGGCAGAGGAGCTGCCTCCTCTACTTTTACTTTCCTCATAAACTAGAGAGGTAGTCACCTCGTGGTATAGTGGATAGAACACTGCGCCTGGAATCAAGAAGGCCTGAGTTCAAATCTAGCCTCAGACACTCATTAGCTATGTGACCTTGGGCAAGTCACTTCACCTCTGTCTGCCTCAGTTTCCTCAAGTATAAAACAGGGATGATAACAGCACCTACCTCCCAGGGTTGTTGTGAGGATCAGAAGAGATAATATTTGTAAGGGCATTTAGCACAGTGCCCAGCAAATAGTAGGAATTTAATAATGCTTGCTTACTTCCCTTCACTTGCAACCACAAAAGGAGGAGAATTGGTTAAGTAGAACAAAGAAGAAACGAGATACGCAAATATCCCAAGGGATGTATTAATACCTCCAAGTAATAAAAGAATAATAGAAATGACTGCAGCACATTGGGCACATCCCATATGCAGGATTTAAAGGATAACACATACAAAAATAGGGCAAGGATAGACAAGAGCGAGGTGAAGAGCTCATGATTTTCACTGGTGGAACAGGGAGTAAAAAAATCCTAGATTCATCAAACCAAAAAAACATGATTTGGTGTTAGATAATCTTAGGTAATATTAAATGCAATATACTTTTAACAGATGCTATTATCAGCATATTGAATGTGTGGCTATAAGAAAAGTTGATACGGAACACTTCACCACATTGCTGATGTATAGCTCCATTTCAATGGGTGACAACTCCTTTGATTGAAATATTTTTTGTATTTTCACAATGTCCCAGAGCCACTAAACACAGGAAATGCAGCTCCACGGTATATGGTTGTATAAGGCATAATCTGCTTTTTTTACCTACTATTTTTTGAGATTACTAAATCCACAGACAATTAAGCATGTAAGCTCAAGAGAAAAAAAAGATTTCTCTGGAGGAGCTAAACTTACACCTGGCCATTCCAGTGAACCCTCCAGTAGCCACAGAAGCCAGTTTCCCAGCTAGCCAGATAAAGGCACCTCTTACAGGCAAATTTTGTGCATCCAGTAGTTCTCCCATGGCAGATTTATGGGAACACATGAACAAGAAAAGCACAGGACTAAAAAGACAGAGGGGTCAACACCACGGGAGAGGGAAGAAACCAAAGCTTGTATAATACTTATCAAGAAAAGGTTTCTCATAATGCAAAAGTTTAAGATGTATTTACCACCCAATGCCAGGGAACTTCAACCAACCCTATCCACCTCACCCAGTACACAGTTAGCATTATCATTCCCTACTATGAACTATCTTCTCTTACTTTATTCATAGCAACAAAGCAGGGGGCTCTAAAAAGTGGAAGAGATAGATCAGAGCTTCTAAAAGTCTAATTCTTTATTCAGTTGTTTGTTTGCCATCTAATACTTTAGTACTTAAAGACTATAGTAGTCTAGATTTCCCAGTACAAAGCAGGCTTCCCAGGGTCCTTATGAGCACATACCTTGTTAGTTACATAGCCTGCTGGGCAGGGGTTTACAGGATCATGGAGGGAACAATAGAACATCGATTCTGGCATGCCTATGCAAACGAGAAAAAAGAAACGGAAAGATTTTAGGTCAATGATTTTACCATGTTGCAAAGACAGTATTTTCTACTAATAAATGTAAAGGAGGAAAAAAAAAACCAACTCAGATCTCATCAATTAGAAATAAATCAAAATGTGGTAAAATTCAGACACACAACACCTAGAATTTTCAATCAATCAATCTGCAAATGTTTATTAGCTGCTGTGCACCAGGCATTGCAGTAGGTGCTAGTGATAAAATGAATGAAATAATCCCTTTTTTCAAGGAGTTTACATTCTAACAGGGGAGACAAGTACACAGAGAAGGCTACATAGAATAAATATAAAAAAGAATACAAATAAATACAAAGTAGTTAAACACAAGGAAGTCTGAAAGAGAGGGATTGGCAGTTGAGGGAAAGGCTTCATGTAGGTGTTGTTTGAGCTGAATCTGAAAAGAACTTAAAACTAATTGTTTAATTAATTAGAAAGACATTATAATTTTATTAACTAATGAAGAAACAACAAAACATGCATGTTGATTACCTATGAACCCAAGAGGAGAATAAGTAAGAAAAATGATCCAGTAGCAGGAAGGTGGATCACCCCACTTAGGCTACACATGGAATTTAATATAAGGGTGCATCACTCATATATTCAAGGGAAAAATTACTCACAGGGATATTGTAATCTTTACATTACATCAGGGGTTCTTAACCTAGGGTCTGTCTGTAATCTTAGGTTTCTGGGGTCTTTTTTTACTATTTTGATAACAAATGGCAATAAAGTTTGCTCCCCTTGTAATCCTATGTATTTTATTTTATGAATTTAAAAACATCATTCTCAGAAGGAGTTCATGGACTTCACCAGACTGCCAAAGGGGTCCAACACATACAAAAAAAGTTAAGAATTCTTGAGTTAGAGGGATAAAACAATTTTAGAACACCAAACCTAAGATATTCCTATTTAAGATACTTTAAATAATCTAAAATTAGGATGAAAAATTTCCTAAACTATCCAATAAAAAAAGTAAAATTGTTTCAACAAAACATTTAAAAAAAGCTTTACAGTTTTCCCATCTTAGTTTCACTGCTCTAAGTTGTTAAGTCAACTCTAGACATCTTGTTTTCAATAACTTATTAACCTTCGCTTTACTGACAAAAATAAGATCTTTGTTTGCTCTAAACCAAGAGGAGCCAGAGGAGACGACCCTTTAAGCCAGAGTATTTAATTACCTTCCTAAGGAAGGCAGGAACCAGCAATCTTGTATCTGGTCAGTTGTTTTAAGCTCCAACTGTACATCAGCTTGAAAGATGATATCTGTCGATTCCCAGCATTAAGTCAGTGAGTTTCAGGAGGGAAGCAAGCTGGGGAAGGCAGATGCTCAGCCTTTTAGCTCCACCTGAGGCAGGTCTTCATATTGTGGCTTCACTATTTTGTTTGTAATGATTTTCCCAGACATTAGCAACACCCATGTTCAAGTATAAGGACAAAAAAACAACCTCAGAATAGAACACAAAGGAAAAATTCTATAAAGAACACCAGACTTGAGAGTAAGGAGACATATTATGGCTCTGCATTAAGGAGCTATGCAAATCTGACCTTCATCTATAAAGTGAGAGGGGTTATACCAGATAACTTTTAAGGACTCTTCTAACTAGAAACTCCTATGATTCTTCAAATAGTTTCTAGATTATCTAAGCTACTATTCTCCCCCATTCACATGAATAAAACAGAGAGAAATATATATACAGATGCATTTCCCTCTAGCACTGAGAAAACTTCTGGGCCTCCTTCCTATTCTTTCATGTAGTTACATGTTCAAGAAAAACAAACTCATTTTAAAATTAGCCTAAGCAAAATGTAAGTAGGAAGAAATCTCATCAAAAAAAATTGCTGTATAGTGTCTTCAGAAGTCATATTTATTATTTTTTGCTTTATTGATGGTTTTAGATTATCCATAGCACTCCTTTCCTTATGCATGGATAATTAGGAAAATAAACTTCAGAGTTCTAGCAATACACTCTAGAAAATAATCTTCCATTCTGTGCTTATATGTAATTTATACAAATGTGACACAGCTTCAAAAGTCTCTGTATCAAAAGTGTTACTGTAGCTTTAAAAGAAAATGGAAACTTCGAGTGACAGCTTAACTGTCAGTCTAGAAGGAGTCTGTGAAGAGACTAAGAGCTTATCTGTCATTTTGAAGAGACTATACCTAAATGGCTAAAGATGGCTAAAGAGAAGACATAGGAGAAAAAAAAAAGACTAAGATAACTTATTTCTAAAGAGAACTGAATTTAACCTTCATCTCACAAAGGAACATTAAGACAATTCTTGAGAAAAGATTCTAATCCATATCCCAAGAAAACTGAAGGGTAGTAATATGTTTCTAGAATTCAGGAGAAGTCAGCAGCTAAAATGATGATTAAAAGTGACTTTGGCTGTGTTCTTTCTCAGTTGATATACTGTATGTAATTATGTTAAGTCTTTGTTTTTTTTTTTAACACAGTTACTAAACAATATAAAGATTTAAATAATTACTTATAATTTATCACCAACTGTGGTATTTATTGAAACCTAAGAAATTAAAGGGGTTGATATAATGAGATAAACAAACGCTTATGGGAAAAGAGGTTTCTCCATTTTAATAAGTATTGCTCACTTAATAAATTTCAATAAAAATTATTTATTCAATAAATGTGTTGTTGTTCATCAGTTGTACCCAACTCTTTGTGACCCCATTTGGGATTTTCTTGGCAAAGATACTGGAGTGGTTTGACTTTTCCTTCTCATTTTACTGATGAGGAAACTGAGGCAAACAGGGTTAAGTGACTTGCCCAGGGTCACACAGGGTCTGTCTGAGGCCAGATTTGAATTCAGGAAGATGAGTCTTCCTGACTCCAGGCCCAGCACTCTTTCCACTGCGCTACCTAGCTGCCCTATTTAATAAATTTTAATTTATTTTAAAAATTTTAATAAATAAAATTAATTTAATAAATATTACTTCTTAAATGACTAAACAACTTAAAACTAATTCATTAATTAGAAAGAACATAGGGAAGTATTAACTCTAAAGCTCTGTCACTATGCTATATTTTTTTCAACTTGAATTTAATTAAAAAAATTTAATAATTTTTTTAAAAACTTCTCAAAGGCAGTTGCAGAATACAGAAGTTTGATGATTTCATGTATTAGAAATAACAAAAATTGGTGCTAGTTCATAAGTTGGGGTGGGATTTAAAAAAAAAAACAACATACCATACAAAGTCTTTCACTGAAATACAAAGCCTGTTAGTTGCAAATAAGTTCTTGGTACAAGAAGAAAACTGACTGAGAAACAAACAGCAACACATAGGTGTCTGTGCCTCAAACACTTCTCACTTAAGTGCTCCCTTCCTGTCAGAGCAGGGATTTTTAATGCAAGAAGAGGCCTACAGAAGGTAAGCTAGGACAATAACTGTCTCTTGTTATTTTTTTTTTTCTGGATGGAAGGGGACATATTCCCAAACAGTACAAAAAATTCCTGTAAAGAAGGAAAAAATATTTAAGACATCACAACACATTCAGAAATGAATAGTTGTCCCTGCATTACCAAACTCTAAAATTAGGATATCAACAAGACACATACTAATTATACAATTTTTACCTATAAATTTTCCAATTCCTTCCTTATATTCCTCCAAGACTTCATAGTGTTCTGCCCTGTAACCAAAAGAAAAACACAGGTGACATAACAGCTAGAGAAAAATCTGCCCAAGTTTTTGATGAGGCAGAGAAGGCATACTTAAATGCAAAATTACATCACAGCAAAACTGGTCTTTCAACAACAAAATTCAACACCATTTAAAGCCTCAGTTTTGCTATAGTCAGAGAATGAAAACTCCAAAACAACATATTCAATACAGACATGAGAAATGAGAAAAGACCTTTTGCTTTAGGATAGTTGGGTTTCCTTCTCTCTCTTCTCCCACCCTTAAAAAATCATTGTTATTTCATACAAGAATAGAGAAATATTTATCATTCATCAAACACTTCAATGAGTATAAAAGCAATAGGATGAAAATGACACAGAATGGGCAGAAAATCGTCGGTGAAGCAGAGAGACGTGGTGACACAATTTTCAGTTCTGTGGTCAATAATTGGCAGAAAAGAACTTCTAGCAGTGGGAGTGGTGGCCGTTACTCTGCTGTTTTCAACTTCCTGGGGGCACCATCTCTGAGCTCTGGTTTGAAGCATCTCAAAAGCAAGTTAGAGACCTGGAATTCTAAGGCTGGCTCTTCAGCTCTCTATAGGCCAGCACGTAGAGGAACAGAGGGTACAGTGCAGCTCAGGCCTTGGCCCTTATTATCTTTCTCTTGGTGCTACAGACCTATCCTAAAACAATAACTTAAGATGGGATCAACAGGGAAGAGTCTGATTTAGTTCTTACGACTCAAACTTGGTACAAGTGGAGTTTTTCCTGCTTCAGGGGCAGTAGGACATGACCTATACCTTGTCAAGGGAATGTGGATAAGCTCCAAATCAGCCTATGCTTGTTGACTTGGGAAAAGGTCTATTGCTTGCCTTGGGCTTATAATTCTTCCTCGCTCCTCCCTTGAATCACCAAAGTAATAATGCTATTATATCTTGTTAGATCAGTTTCAGTATCTTGAAACTACTTTTGTACTCCAGGTGAAAATTCTATGACATCTTAATTAGTGTTAATATTTAGTGCCTTCCTACTTGCCTACAGGATAAAATACAAATTCCCTGGCCCAGGACTTAAAACTCTTCACAATTTGGCCTACCTTTCTAGGTATTTCATATCACCATAATGCTTAGCACAGGGCCTGGAGCACAGCAAGTGCTATATAAATGCTAGCTATTGTTATTATCATTATTATTGTTGTCATTACTATGCACATCACATATATATTACACATATTATATATAGTAGGATGTGTCATTCTAATATATTTATACCATAATATATTATATATATTGATTTGTACATTATATTGTGTATTGTTAGGTATTCTGTTATGTTATTGTAACATATATTTAATAACAATATTTTTATGGTTCCTACTATATGCCAGGCATTGTGTTAAATGCTTTAAAAATATTATCTCACTGGATCCTCACAACCACCCTGGGAAGTAGGTACTATCCACATTTTACACATGGGGAAACCAAGGCAATCAGAGATTTAAGTGACTTACCCCAAGGGCACATAGGTCTTGTGGGAGGCTGAATATGAACCTAGCTCTACCTAACGCCAGGCCCAGCACACTCTCCACAGTACCACCCTGCTGTCATCCTTAACACTACATTCTCGTCCAGAGGTGTCAAACTCAAATAGAAGTGGGTTCTGGTGGCAGCACATTGACTTAAAAAACCTCAAACTAACTTTGTCTATGTTGTACGGTGGCACAATGGATAGAGTGCCAGGCCTGGAGTCAGGTAGACCTGAGTTCAAATTTGACCTCAGATACTTACTAGCTGTGTGACCCTGGGCAAGTCACTTTTTAATCCTGTTTGCCTCCTTTTCCTCAACTGTAAAAGGAGCTGGGGAAGGGAATGGCAAACTGCTCCAGTATATTTGCCAAGAAAACCCCAAATGGGGTCACAAAGAGTTGGACACAACTGAAACTACTGAACAGCAACAAATTTTATTTTTATTTATTTTGCTTAACATTTCCCAATTATACTGGCTGAATTAGGGGAGTTTTGCCAGCACCTCTGTTCTAGCTGACTCTGGCTCATACCTATACTTTGTACTCTATCTCCCCACCTCCTTATCTTGGAAGAGGGGCCATTATTTCTAGGATGCATTCCCTCAAATTTCTACCTCTCAAAATCCTTATCTATTATCAAAGTTCAATTTAGGTGCCACATCCTCTACAAAGTTTTCCCAAATCTCTAATTATTAGTACTATCTCTTTCTTCAAATCATGCATGTAATATGCCGGATTTGGAGTTAAGAACACCTGGGTTTGAGTCTTGCCTCCCTATGTAAGCCTCAACAAGTCACTTAAATTCTCTGAGGCTGAGTTTTCTCATTTGTAAAAAGAGGCCAATGATAGCACCTAATTCTATTAATAGCACCTAATAATAATCACAGGGTTGTTGCAAAGATCAAATAAAACAATATATGTAAACTTTTTTTTTGGCTAGGCAATGAGGTTAAGTGACTTGTCCAGGGTCACATAGCTAGTAAGTGTCGAGTGTCTAAGGCCAGATGTGAACTCAGGCCCTCCTGACTCCAGGGTCAGTGCTCTAACCACTGTGCCACATCACTGCTCCTATGTAAATAACTTTTGCAAACCTTAAAGCATTATACAAATGCGGGCTGTTATTATCATGTTATATATAGGCTGTATCCCTCTAATAGAAGGTAATGCCTTCGATGGCAGGGGTTGTTGCATACCCAGCACCTAACTCAGTTCACACACAGCAAACCCTTCATAAACATCTGTTGAAACAAATCTCATGTGTACATGTCTACATAAAGAACACAGGTCTTTGATAGCAAACAGCCTGTAATGATTACCCTCTATTACTGATAATAGCTGATACAATGAGGCCCAATATTTACAGTGAAGACAGGGTGAGTTGGGTCATGACAGGAACCCTGCTGATGACTTGCAACGTGTCATGAGTAAGATGTGGAGCCGACCCAGTTCTGGTGTACAGCAGGCAACCTGGAAACTCCATGGTGCGGTCCCCTTTCCTTCCCAGGTTATTTAATGTTCCAAGCCGATAGCCCTGAGCCACCTTGGAGAGACTCAATTTCATCTTGAAGTTATTCTCTGGTTCCTGATAGACAAAAAGCACTTGTTAGAAGGGATTCTATGACACATGAAAGCCAAACATTTTGCAATCAATATATGCCGTATTACCATTGGTCCCAGGTATTAATATTTTTATACCCATTTTGCATCAACTAGGTTACAGAAAGCAGTGGACTTGGAATCAGGAAAAACTGAGTTTGAATCCTACCTCAGACACACTATAACAGGGCAAAGACTCTATCAACCTCATTTTCTGCACCTATAAAAATAGGGGAGCAGCTAGGTGGCACAGTGCATATAGTACCAGCCTTGGAGTAAGGAGGGCCTGAGTTCAAATCTAGCCTCAGATATATAACACTTACTAGCTGTGTGACCCTGGGCAAGTCACTTAACCCCAACTGCCTCACAAAAAAAAAAAAAAGAAAAAGGAATAATAGCACCTCCCCCACAGAGCTGTTGTGAGGATGAAATGAAATACCATATGTAAAGCACTTTGCAAACCTTTAAGACTAGATAAATGCTAGCTATTATCATTAAAGGAAACTAGAGGAATTAGACTTGAAATGCCTTCCCTCAAGGTCACAAATAACTCAATGGCAAACCCAGAACTCAAGTCCATGTTCTCTCAGTTTTCAGACCGTCCTTAATCCACAAAATAGCTACACTGGTATTTTTTGGTACAAATTAAAATGAAACAAATGAAAAAGTAGGAATTTTTTTAAAAATCACACAAATCTGTTGAAATTTTCTTAGGATCACACAAAGTCTCTGAAAACTAATAGCTGATGAGAAAAGGGAATAGTGTCCCTGCTGTTTGACCACACTGTTAAGAGCTCAATTTTTTTTTCTTCCATTGGCAGTTCAAGTTCACATTCAGGACTTCAAGGTGATAGTTTCTGTCTTCTACTAGTAAACTCCAGCGATTCCCAACATAGTTCAGTCATTTATTTGACACGTTTCTGGCCTATACTAGCTTGCAGATCAAGAGTAGGAAAAAAACAAACCAACCATTTTCCTATTTAAACCAGTTCCTCTGGTGTCGACTGGGATATAATTTTAAATGTAGCCTGAGTTTTTCTACAAAGGCATGGTAAGCTATTTCCACATGTCATCAGTTCTTCAAATAACCCTTATGGATTCATTTAAGTACCACACCCCCCGCAGTTTTTTCCAATGAAATCCTCATCTGTAAGATGAAGAGGTTGTACCAGACTATCTCTGACAGTCCCTTCTAGTTCAAAATCTTTTACCTCAGATTCTATAAAATCTTAAGTTTAATAATATTCACCGTGTTAGTGGAGAAACTAACTCAGAAAACTGGGAGGCTCCAACTCATACTCCTTTTTTCTTTCTTTTTTTTTTAATAATTCTCACAAAGAAAATTCCCCAGGAAAGTGAACTTTATTCCCTTAAAGATTAAGAGCATTTAAACCTAATGCCCAATATACTCTTGGAAATTTTTAAAACTTAGCTTTCTCTTTTTGGCTGAATAAGAGAATTTATGTTGGTCATTCTGTGTAATCAATATACACAGTATAAAGTAAATGAGTCTGCTCATTTTCTTCCAACTAAAACTAGAAAACTCGTTTCAAGTAACCAAAGAGAAGTAGCCATAAATAATAGAGCCAATGAAATATACAGCAATGGGGAAGTTAGGGTTGTTTTAACTTAATAGAATAACTATAAAATATATGAAATACTATATACTACTACCCAGTATATACTATTTACTATATAATACTATATGCTACTATAAAGTGAAAAACTTAAATCAAAATTGAAATTTTATCAAAAGTGAAATCAGTTAAGATAAAGCAAGGATGTTGATGTCCCTAAAAGTTGTGGAAAAATATAAAATCAAAGAAAAAAATGGTGTTCTAATGAGATGCAAGGAAGAAAAATCACTCAGCTCCACAGGGAGGGAATCATTTTTGGTTTTGCTGGTGGATCTTCAGCATTCAGGACACTGCCTTGCACATATTAACTACTTAATAAATGCTTGCTGAATTGAACTAGTTTACTAACAGAACACATTGACACAGTATGTTTTCTTAGAGGATGTTTCTTTTATATTTATTGGCTCAGTACAGACAATTAGATTGCAAGTAATAAAAATTGTGCTTACGAAGGTCTGAGCCCATTTGTGGAAAAACTTTTGCTTTTAAAAACCTGTGCTCCAGAACATTAAAAGCAGGAGGAGGGGCAGCTAGGTGGCACAGTGGATAGCGCTCCAGCTTTGGAGTCAGGAGGACCTGAGTTCAAATCCAGCCTCAGACACTTGACACCAGGTATATGAGTCTGGGCAAGTCACTTATTCCCGATTGCCTAACCAAAAACTAAAAAAAAAAAAAAAAAAAAAAAAAAAAAAGCAGTGGGAAGAAAAAAAACAATACATATACTAATTGAATTCTGAGGAATCTATTAAATACGTGGCACTGATTCTTTAAGGTGGCAACAAGTGGGACTGTTGTTCAGACATAGATTCTGGTCAATCAGATCACTGACTTAGACTTTGGCAAAATATTTGGCCAAAGCTTTTTTGTTATCCTCATAGGCAAGATGACAAGTTGTGGACTAGAGGACAGGTGGATTCAGAATTGGATAAAAAAATCAGAAGCAAAGAACAATCATCAATAGCTTTATATAAACTTGAAGGGGGGATTGCTGATAGAGTATCCTAAGGAACCTGTCCTTGATCCTATGTTATCCAACATTTTTATCTAGCATAAGACAACCACTGAAGGTCCCTTCTAGTTCAACATCTATGATCTCTGATCTATAAAATCTTTTTTTTTTTAGGCAATTGGGGTTAAGTGATGTGCCCAGGGTCACACAGCTAGTAAGTGTCAAGTATTTGGTCTGAGGCTAGATTTGAACTCAGGTCCTCCTGACTTCAGGGTCAGTGCTCTATCCACTGCGCCACCCAGCTGCCCCTGTTCTATAAAATCTTAAGTTTAATATTATTCACCTTGTTAGTAGAGAAACTAACAGTCCTATTTTTTTCTTTTTTAAATTCTCACAAAGAAAATTTCCCAGGAAAATGAACCTGGACGAAAGTATACATGTAATACAAAAACTACATATTTGCAGATGACATGCAATTGAAATGGCAGATAACGGAATTAGAATCTAAAAAAATTCTGGCTAGACTAATGGGTTGAGTCTAATAATATGAAATTTAATAGAGAGAAATTTCTGTACTAAATATAGAAAAAAAATTCTATACTTTGGGTTCAAAAAATCAATTTTACAAGAACAAGATAGGGAAATCAGGGCTAGATCCTAATTTCTGTGAAAAATATGGAGGTCTTAGTGGACTAGAAGATAAATATGAATCCAAAGTGTGATATGGCAGCCAAAAACACCATTTCAACCTTAAGCTGAATTAAGACAGGCAAGGGAAGCACTAATCCTGATATACTCTGTCCTGGTCATTTCCCAAAGAATTCTACCTGCTCATGCCCATTTTTCTAGTAACAAGCTTTTGAAAAAGACTGCATTTAATATGCCTATCAAGAGCCCGAAAAAGGATTCCTGTTACCAAATCCAGCTTGTCTTTTACCCCTGGGTGGGCAAGTTACCACAAACCATTCCCATCCTTATCATCATATGTCCTAGGCATCGGAGGTTAATTTCAAGGGTATCAAGAGTAGAAGAAGTAAATACACCCTCCTGCCCATTATCTAAGATTCAGTAGCAGATGTTTTCTAAATGAATAATTATGTGGTAAATTTTAGCTCTGTACCATTAAAAGATAAAATCAAAATTCATATATATGTGTGTATATATAACATACATGTACACACATACATACCTATATACACATACATGCACACACATACACACACACACATATATATATACACATACATACATACATACACTGCAGTGGGAGTTACTGAAGGATCTAAATTACAGCCAACCAGATCTTAGATGAAAAATTAGTACAAGAAGTATGAACACTTCCCAGTCTCCCTCACAGGGTGCTTCTAGACTGTAATGTTTCTGTTCCTCCATCAGCCTTCTCCATTCTGATACAAGTATCAGTATCTAGGTGAGGGTCGAAGGACAAGTACAGTTCGCCCTGCATTTTGAGATTGGGTTGCTGCTATTTACATAAAGCAAAAGCCCTGTTGATTCAGTTGTTATCAGGTCACAATCTCCCCTCTCCCCAAATGTCCTTGAAGATTTCAGAAAGCTAACTGTCCAGGTGGCAAGTGTCTGAGCTCAGGACAGCCTTGGAGCACTCAGGACCAGTCTGTCAGGCAATTCGGGCTTGACGAGACCTTTGACAAACTTAGACATTTAAGTATTCGTTAACCTGGGGAGAAATCTCTGATGGTCTGTTTCTCATAATTCATCTAAAGATAATACATAGTAGTCAACAGTCAGCAGCATTGGGAAGTAGCAGTTATCTCAGGATAGATAGGGTGCTCAGCTAAAGAGTAATAAGCATCCTGAGAATGACCTTGAAAAAAGCAACTTTATCATAGGAGAGAGAGGGCCAAATCTGCTGTAGATAGAGGAAAAGGGGGGGGGGGAGAAAACCTTCTGCACTTTTGATGAACATCTCTGAGGCTATATTTAAGTATGTATAATAAAGGTATTAATATTAAAGGGAAAAAGGATTAAAACAAACTATACTTAATACAAATGTTTCTTTAACTTAGGAATTTCCTCAAATGGGGTTTCACTTAAGTTTCAGAAAACAATAACAACAGCAAAAATAATAATGATGGCTTCATTTATCACTCAGTCTCATTTCTAGAGGTAGAAATTCATACATTAGTACCACCTCATATGTTTTGCAAAACTGTGCTTATGTGATACAATTTTCTGTACTTCTATATTTCTTTTTTGGTGGGTGGAAGGGGGTAGAAGGGGAAAAAAATGAAAGTTTAATAATTGAAAGATGGTATTTTTTAAAGTTAGTAAGTACTTCAAACGACAAAGTGGGTCAAAGCAATCAAAAGAAGGCACTGGTTAATTAAAAAAGAGTACCTTGAACATCCTATTCTCAGTCAT